TACTATCTGTAATTTTCATTAATGAGGAAAGAATAACAAAGCATACATCTGTTCTTCAGTTTTTATCCTTTAAACAGAATACTTAAGATCAGGAGCACCAAGAAACCAGGATAAGTAAAGATTGCAGTACTTCACAAATATTATCCTGTAGAGTTTATTAATCTATAAATGATCACCTATCTAAGTTTCTACCAAAAATCATCTCAAATATTGCTTATAACAAAAAAAGGTAATCAACCCGAGTTTTGTTACTGTAACTATTAGTATGGCAAATAGAGCCAGTATCATACACTGGCTAAGAGTGACTCATACTAAACAATATATTACCTGATAGAAGGTAAAAGAAACCAGAAACTACGCAAAAAAGCCGACTCAACAAGAAATTGAAAAGGTACCTTGCTAAGCATGACCACAAGAAAACCCTCCTCGGTAACTTTGTTCTCCACCAATGTAGTTTCATCTTTCAAAACCTTCCCATTGTGAATCAACAACTGTTGCCCACATGGATAGTTGTCTTTGCTTTGTGAATCTTCAATGTTCTTCTTCACCGCCATTATCTTAAAAAAAGCAAGTACACAAATTTTCCCAGATTTAAGAACTCATACACAAACATACTCACTCAACAACACATTCGTCAAAAAGGTTGAAAATTCTGAATCTAGCATTTCCAAAAAAAAAACTTCCGGGTCACATATTACACAATCCAGATTGATATCATAGCACGGAACTTAGCCTCGTTTTCGTTTGAATATCATCCGAATTTTACTGCTTGCCTATACAAAATCAAACGAAAATTCGAACGAGTGAAGCGGAAAAGAAAATTGAGAGGAGCACTCACCGTGTCGGTGGGCAGAGCCTTAATTTCAAAATGGTTTCCCTTGAGAGTCTTAACGGTGAGCTTCATGTCGACGGATTGATATTACCGGCGGTGTCGGCAGAATCCGGCGAAGAACGTCGGCAGGGAGCGAGATAAATAGTGACCTAAAAACAAAGTTTTTTTTACCAACAAGGCCGAATTTAGCAAACAGTCGCTATCAATAATTCAATATAGCGTTTCAGATTTTAAAACGCGGCAAGAGAACCCCCACGTGCACCGCACGTGACACACTGCAAGATCCCTCAAATATCTCCCACAGTTTTTAAAATTTTAAACCAAATTTCACGGTGATAAACAAATCGTTTTTAATTATTTAGTTAAAAGAATATCCCTGTTGTACAAAGTACAAATATTCTAATTTCAAATCTTTATCATCTATCTAAATAACGAAAAAATAAGAAACTTCATTAACAACAACAAGAAAAGAAATGCAAAATATACACAAAATTTGGCTTTAGAATACTTTGCTTATGGCACCCAATCTCCAGAGAAAAAAATGTGTTCACGCAAATTGATTTTTTTTTAATAGATATAGAGTAGTTTCCATGAAACATAAAAAATGCGAGAAAGGAAATATTTATATTACAGATCGGCCAACAAAGGCCATGCGGCTTCATAGCACACACGAGACTCTATTACATAGTCAGAAGATAGAATCTTTTTATACAAATTCAAGATTCATGAAAAGTTTATCAGAGAATCTCAGGGACTGGATTCATTATTAGCTCAGAACTCACGGTCAGGGAAGAGGATCGGAGCAACAAGTGACCAGATGAAGAGACCAGCAGTAGCCCAGCTGGTCAGAATACGGACCCAGACGGAAGACCACCCGACATCAACCAGCTTACCACTTTCACCTACCGAGGTCGACCAGCCGGTTAAGAGCATTGCAGAGTACATGCTCGCCAGAGAGAAAATGATGTGGAAGAATGCGTATGAGTATGACACTGG